TCGGTTATAGCCTTGATTGGTCATTTAATAATGTGGACTATTATGAGTGCAACGTGCATGGATGAATGCATTGTGCCTAAAAGTGATAATTATATGTGTCTGGATTATTAAATTGATGTTGTGCCTGCTTATGCATTATGATATGCCTCTAGTTTATGCAATCATGTGATCTTGTTATATGCTTGTTGGAGCGATTGCAGAGTTATGATGGTTAGTAGAGGGCCAACCTGATGCGAGTAACGCGGGTTGTGCCATGGCCCTGTGAGGTCGTAGTAATCGGAACTCGCGTGAAAGAGTATGTTGTATTGTGCCTGATTATGGGATAAAATTGTGAGACACGGTATGGGACGGGCCAAAACGGTTTCACTTCATAATCAGGACTCGTATGGATACCTTGTACATGAGAATTGCTAAGCGTGTTCTGATTGTATTATGTGCTTGTTGCATTATGATTGCACATGTTGGTTTATTATGTGCAGGGCGTATGTGTGTGCCAAGGCAAAGTAAGAATGCATGTGATTGTTTAATGGCACGTTTCTTTATGCTGGGCTGAGTAACCTGTTTGTGTTTATAGTTAAGGCAAAGTAGGGGTTGCTTTGCTATTGATCTGCCATCGATAGGTTGTTGCATGTTTAGGAGCGCTCAAGGCGAGTTGACTTCCTAACCGAGGCTTAGGTCGTTAACTTACTGAGATTTATCTCACTTGTTGCTGTTAACCATTTTTCAGGTGCTCAGGTATGAGTACGCGTTGCGTTCCATGGGAACCGGTTGTTTTGAGGGGGAACACCTTTTGAGGTTGCCCTCGTAGATAGAAGAGTTAGGTTAACCCCTACCTTTTGTGGTTGTAATCGGGAAGGTCAATGTAGCGGACTTGTAATATGTTAACCCGATGTATTGCTGATGATGCTGTATATATTGAGGTGTGTTTTCCTGACTATCCTTGTTGTTGTGATTTGGTGGATTATGATTGCTTCCGCTTGCGTTTAATTGAAAGTTAAAATGAATGGGTCAGCGACGCGGCCTGGGACGTCGCAATTCCACGACCAAGGAAGGATGTCCGCGCGCTCGAGAGTCCGGGGCATGACAAATACAGGTAGAAAGGAACAAAAAAAAACAATAATACCCTAAAAATACATGTATTTAAGGTTCCGTATGCTTTTTTATACCTTTAAAAGCTTCAAAGATGTAAATTAACTTTACCACAATGTAGAGCATTTCAATACTAACACGACGATACCAACCACGCTCCGATCGGAGCTCCTACGCACGTTGCGCATGTGTGGCACACGCTCCGCGGTCAAATCCGCCAATCCAATAGGTTCCAAGTCCAAGTGTTCCTGGTTCAACCAGTCCGATTGCTTGACCAATTAATGGGTCGGGTCAAATCCTAAGGTTGGGTCGTGGGTCGGATCCTCGGGTTGGTTACCGGTTCGGGCAGCTGACATCATGATGTCAACCTTAGACGATCCATGCATGCGACCTATGTGCTAGGCTGTAGTCACGCGTGGGCGCGTGGCGAACAACGTGAGCGGCTTGTGCTTGCGCGTAGGGGCTTGTGCAGCGTCCCCTAAAGGCGTGTTACCCACCGTTTTGCTCATCTCAACGAGATCTATCACCCTATGTGATCAAAATCAATTTTCACCGGAAAAAAGTTTCAAGAAAGGCCAAACAGAATGGTCGTCCACAACCTTGAAATGCGTCTTTCGTACCCGGTTCATATTGACCATCAATACAACAATTTCAGCACATTAAACATGCAGAAGGTTTGAAATCGATCTCCTGATGTTCTTCTTATTGAACAACAAGCGAAAACTCGACTAAAAAACAAGGAAAATATCATAAAGTAGGCTCCGATACCAATGTTGATAAACATCAGGGAAGAAATCCACTAAGCTTTTGATATACAACAACAGAATTACCTAGGAATATAGATTGAATCACCAACGAATAATAGACGAATTTACAACTTCCCAATGGTCCGAATATAATCACAAGGAAAATATTCTTGTTTCACAGCATTAACGCCAATCGTCTTCTCAAAGTAATAATGGAGACCTTTTGTATGTTATTCTGATAAAGAGGAGAACTTACATTTTGCTATATGTTCTTTTTTTTTTCTGTATGTGTGTTGTCTCGTCTTATTGTCTCTCTCATCAGGAAGTTATTTCAATTTCCCTTGAAAGACAACCATTCACATCTCTTCAAAGGATACCTCTCATAACACACCCCATCATGGGCAGACCAGTGCCATATAACATTCTCTAATCTGCTTTGTCACACTATCCAATCAAATTCGTGGATGTCCTCAACATTTCATAGTATCCAATCAAGTGACATATCCTATGGAAAGACCTAAGACTATTTGATTTCAATCATAGTGAATAAATTCGAAGCAACCTTATCCATTGAAATAACAATCATGAGAAAAGCAAGCATGAAATCATAATTATCTAATTTTCCTATCCATACTTGATGATGAATTGGAGTAGTGGCTTCACGATCTTTAAATATCATCAAGTCGAGGAATCATTGGATCTGAAATTCCAAGTGATCGAAGCTTTCTTGTGCTGCAATTTTTAGATTAATCCACGAAGCACTGATATAGAAATGGACGACAGGTGAGAATAGAGGCCGCCGAACGGAACTTGGAAACCAAAATGGGAGAGGAGAGAGGATATTCCTTGCATTCCTATTGGTTAGCCAATCATTTGCAAGGACAAGGATTAGTGACTTGTCCAAGAATGAGTGGTTAGGACTACCATTACTGAAGAGCTTAGATTAATTGGCTTGATGGGCAAGAGAGTTGACCAAGGAACAGTCAAATGGGCTACATGGGCTCCGGCCATAAAGGGGCTTCATGGGCCAGGCTTTGTGGACCTAGTTCGGTCTTGATGGGCCGACCCTATCGGGCCCGGGTTTGCGTGGTCTTTCTTTATGTTTAACCGTAGCCCTAAGCGCTTGATATGTTTCGAAATTATGTTTATTGGGATTGGTTCGACCCAAAAAGCTAGTTGACTTTTTCGTAGAAAGTCAAATAGTGAATTTTAGTGCTCTTTTAAGATTGATTGGCTCCCGAGGTTCCGTTCATCGAAAAAATTGTAATCAGGCCTGAGGTCTCTAAATTTTATTGTTCATAGATCAAATGTGTCGAAGAAACCAAACAGAAATGCATTAACTAACTATTTTTGGTTCAAGGAACATACTCTGTCGCGATTAGAGATCTCGAATCCCAAAATGATTTTCTTTAGAAATGCATGTTTGACTTGTCGATGAAATTCAAGTGTCAACACCTCCCACGTACAAACTAGATTAGGAATGAAACATAAAATTGATGAATAGAGGCTGCATACTCAAAACAAATAATTGGGGCGGAACTTGACTCCTATCCTATATAAGAAAGTCCAACCTAACTATTAACTCAAAAGTTTAAACTGGTGAAAGGATAACAATGTAGTAACACGTGCAAAGTCTAAAAAAATGCGACTGAAATAAGGTGTATCTATACTATCTTATTTAGAAATCGTACGCTAGAGCTTGTAAATGCTTCTGTGCATTTTTTCTTCTTTTCCGTAAGAGATTGTTAGGAACCTTCCTCACATACTCTTTTGATGAAAAATCTTCAGTGTTTTCCTACTTAATAAGTCATCTGATCTTTTTGGCATGCTATTTATCCATTTTAATCTTACTTTAGTTGACATGTCGACATAATTAACCAAAATGCGCCGTCTATAAATTAAACAATTTACTGCGGCCACCCTAGTGTAATTAGGCTTTTGACTTTATGGAATGGATAACTATCTAACATAGAGAAGAAATGAAGCTAGTCAATCCATTTGCTTTTCCGACCAAAAAAAAATCCACTTGCTTTGCTTGATCAAATCAAGCAACATTGTCATGTATTGACAAACGGACAAAAAGACGCCTATTTTTCTATTGATCTGGGTAAAGGATAAAGTAATTATTTTTGGTATATTTAATAAGCACTATAAATGATCCGATGCTCGAAATTTACCAAATCATATTGGGAAATTTTGATGAGACCACTGCCAATTGTTCTAAAAGTTTAAGCTGTCAAATGAAGAAGTATATTAATATTCAAATACTTAACACTTTCACTCACGTGCATGTTGGACTTTGACCTAAGAAGAAAATGTAAAAATATACAATAGCAGAGGCAAAAAGAAGTCTAGAAGTATTTGAACTTGAGATTTGCTACTCGGATACCAAGTGACATTTTAGTGAAACCACTGCTATTTGACTCTATTATTATATATTTTCATGCTATAGTCACAAGGCAAAGTACAACATACAATTTAGGGAAAGTATTAGAGTATTTGAATTTTGAACCGCTCTTTTATTTAACAACTTTACTTTCTAGAATAATTATGGTTACACAAACTATCACATGTAAATTGATGAAATACTTCGTATTGGTCGACCCAAAGATGAAAGATACTACGATATTAGTTGAGATACCCAATATAAAATTGCCACATCATTTAGTAAACAAAATTACTAAGATTTTTTTAATACATTTAGCTTTGCTCGTGTTAATAATGGATTTTATGACCGTAGTACCCTTAAGATGTTATTTGATATTACAAAAACATATTGATTTCATATTCAATTTTTCTTATGGTGTCTAGACTTGTTATTTAGTCATTTTGAATATTTTATGACTTGACCAAATGCCTTTGGGACATTTGTTTTTTTAATAATATGCGACAATGTACACATAGTATTTCTCCATTTCAACAAGGTTTTCCAAAGTTAAATGTCCATAGATGGAACAAGAAAAATCAAAGCAAATGGATAATAATTCATATATTATAATCAATGCACCTTACTTTTGTATGCGGTTTGAATCACACATGTACAATAATAAACAAACCATTAAACCAGTTTATGACAGATAACTAAGGAGACGAACATATGAAACCTTGAATCAAGCAAACAAACAATTAAAAATCACTATCATTGTTAGGTCGCACGTCTCATAATCAAGGGCTCGGCGTAATGAACTGTAGAAACTCATCGTCCCGCTCGAACTCGATCATGTCGTGCTCGGCCAAGGTGATCCAGGCTTCGATCCCATCCCCACACCTAGTTCCCATCAAAATCACCACATTTTTCATGGGAACACTGGTGGTGCACACCCAACCGGGCCTTCCCCAGCCAAAATCCACCTCATAGAACGGGAACCTCGCCCAGCTGCTGAACCTGTAGAGCTCAATCTCTCCCGCAGACGCCGCCGCCAGCTTCCGTGCCGCCATGAGGCTCTTGCAGGCCTTGGCCAATCCATTCTTGCCTTGAAGGGCGCTCAAATATTCGCTATCAATTGCCCTTATTGATTTCCTGAGAATGCCTGCAAAGTCCTGCAATTCAACTTTCTCGTTTGGTTCCACGAGTGTGCCACAATGGACTGCCACAGATTGCCCAAGGCATTCTCAGGCAATGGTTGGGGCCTTATCCTGCTTCTGATGTTCACCACGTGTCACTGCTGATGATGGGGGACATGTCTTGTTCCAGTCCGGCCTCTTCCTCGCTGCCTCCATGGCCGATTTCCATATGAGGGCAGTCACGGCCTCGATGCGAGTAGGAGTAGCACTGCCAAACATGGCCCTGAGACGGGCCAGGCTCTCGCCGTCGAAACGAAACCTCTTGGTTAAAAGCTTCTCTCTGCTGATGACCCCGGATGGCATTTGGAAGTTTATGTCCTTTGGTTGGAAGAGCTCAGATGCTTTTAAGAAGGGGGTTTTGAGGTTGGCTTTGTTGTCGATGCCATTGACAGCAATTTCAGACCATCAATTGAGTAAAGCGGAGACCGACGTGCCGTCAGCTATCTTGTGAGAGATACAGCTGCCGATCCCGATACTGCCACAGTCGAAGAAAGTAGCTTGGACCCCTACAATGACTTGTTCCTCAATGTTGGGACTGATTGTGTATGGAGAGAATGGAAGGAATTGCTGCAGCTGATTGATGTCGGGGTTTGACAGGACTTGAGACAACTCGAAGTGAGCTTTTGCCTCCAAATAGAGCGCGCCGTCGTCGTTGCAATCGATGGCAGCATTGCCTTTCATCCTTCTGCCTAGAGGGTAGAAGAGGAAAGTGCCTGCGAGAGCGAAGTTTTCAAGTTTCCTGTCACCGAGGCAGAGTTCAGGGTGACGTTGTCATCGGGAGCCGCATAGAACAGGACGGCTGGAACGTAAAACGGTGGAGCCAGCTGGTCAAGGAGGCAGAACTTGAAATCCCTGTGGTGAGATGGAGTTGGAGAGGAAGGCTTGATGCTCTCTGTGGAGACAACCTCAACTTTCATGGCCATGTTTTGTTGGAAATTGAGAGATTTGAAAGTTTGTCACTTTTAAGTTTCTTTCTGGAGAAAGATGTGTTCCCTTGGTGCTTTTCAATCGCAAGATCTTATAGTTTATATAGATTAAAGAGAGGATAAATTTGCAATTTTTGGGTCATAGGCTCATAGCATCATGGCTAAACAAGAAGTATATGCTGATCTCTGGCGGTAGCTCACGTTTCGAAGGATAAAGCAGATATTATGTATTACCACCAATGTGAAGAATCTATCAAGTTTCTCCATTTGATATAGTGACTTCGAATATAATATAATTATAGACTTATTCCCCAGCTAAAATGATGGAGAAAGTTAGCCTCATAATGCCTTACACATATTGGATCATATTCTTTCTATTGGATTTAAGCACTATATATATTTCCTCTTTTTTTAATTAAGATGATATGTTAATTGTGGTAAGCTTTTAATACCAGAATAAGTGTACATCCACGGTCTATTCAAAGACAAGTCCTCCATGCCGAGATTTTACAAAGAATTATTGGCTTGTAGCCTGATAATCACTAATCGTGTTGAATAGGAATTGAACGAATTGAACATGAACCCTTGTGTTATTCGAGATATCTAGTAGGGAATATAATTTGGGTATTGTTACAAGCATTTGGAGCATTTCGTCATTCTAGCATTGTTACATGAGCAAAAAAATGGATCAAGCCTGGGATCTCCGAGGGAAAAGGATTCATCGGTAGATGATAACAAGGAGTCGAATTAGTCCAATGAGGAAAACAACTGGCATACATATGCTTAATAATCGTGAATTGTTTCAGTTTGCACCCAAGACTGTCTATTAGAGGACAAATTTGTCGAACGTCCATGGTGGTAGGAGGATGCTCAAGTAAACAAGTGTTCAGCTTCACCATCTGTGAGCAACTATGTAAACATTCTCTAAATTATTTTTTATAAACGAGTACAAAATAAAAAAGAAAAAAAGAAATAGTTTGTCATTGACAAAATTGTTTGGCTTTGAGCATCGAATGCAAAAATTGATGAAACAGAGCACAGCTCATTGAAATGGTCAAAATTAGTTTAATGAGAAGTAAATCTATCACAAGTGCATTAGTTTGAGATTTTTGATGGTCAAAAAATTAATTTAGGATAAATTTATCATAGGTTCACCAGTTTGGAAATTTTCGTGATCAAAAAATCTATTCGGGATAAATTTATTACAGATATACTAATTTGGAGTTTTTTTGTGGTATTAACCTTTATTATTTTCCCCACCAAAATTATGAAAAAAATTCAGGAAAGAGACGACGAGAGAATCATGCCTTTGTCGAATTGCCGATAAGGGGCGGTCGGCGTAGAAGGCCACTTCAGATAATCATGTGGCATATTGGGCAAATATCGTCATGTTGGCGTAATACGGACCAATAGGAGTCTGACACGTGGCAAAAGGCCGTTGTCATAGGAGTCGGGACTTAGTTGCGAGTGCATGCACGTGTCCCTTTGTAACTTGCAAGGCCCTGCCGTAGCCTCAGGCGTGTGCAGTCTTCATCCAACGTCGTTTTAGATCCTGAAAATTTCTATAGACTCGTCTTGACTTATAAAATTTTTTCAGTGGTTTATTCTTTTGTTACTGCTTATAAAAAATTTATAAATTTTGTGTATATTGTAAAACTCATAAAATGAATAGTAAATGTACAGACCACATTGTGAGTGCTTCTCATTATTTAGTTTGATCTCATTTATTTTGGTTAGGTTTTGTTTAGTTTTTATTACTAGTTTTATCTTACCATATTTAGAATTTATTCCTCATCATTTATATTAAGAGATTTGCATTTATTATATTAGTTCACATTTATTTCTATGTATCGCTCACGAGGTCCCATCCCAGAAAGGTGTTGTGTCGAGTTGTTCTTTTCAGTTTTATGTTTGCTTTAGTATTGATTGATCTAATATTTATTGCATGAGCACTTATGCATGGACACCTAGATGCATGTCAGGGAATAAATCGAAAAGATCGCATGAATATTGTTTTAATAAAAGAGACAATGTAACAATAACGGGTGTTAAATAAAATAGCATAACCCAATCCCTGAATCCAAGAATCTCTAGTCGGTAAAAGTAAGGCGGACGTGCCTTAGTAGGCTCATAATTGGCCTCGAATAGGGTAGTGACAAAATTTTAGTTAAAATCTAATAGGTAATTAATGAGAAACCAAGTTGTGATCGGTAGAGTTTAGAAGAGCTTATGCGAAGTGCAAGTGCCACCTCGCTAGAGGGTTGTCCACGTTCGCTTGGTAATCCATTCTACTCTCTTGGGGTTCATCTCGGGAAGGTCGTTACAATTTGACGATTCTATTGGGGGATTGGTCAAAACTTTAAAAAGACTTAGGCTTAAATTTTCTCTTTTGAAAACATTTTTGTGTGATCTCCAAACACTGCGCGACATTTAAGGTACACACTAACGGCTGTGCTGAATGGTTTCACATAACAAGAGTTAAAAGGGAATGTGTGTTTGTTACCTCTTGTTTTGTAGGGAGGTACGAGGATGTTTGATTACATTTAAGATGAAAGTAGTGTATGCATGATAAATCTTCTCATGCGTGAATTCCATACTTTGGCACCACACCTCATTCACACAAGTCCCGCGATGCAAAATCCTGGGTTGCATCTATGGAACCAAAAGAAAAAGCTGAGGCTGTCTGCAAGTTACGGTGGATATTAAGCCAACTCAACCCGGCTCATTTCTCGAAATACCTTTAGCTCGCAAAGTGAGAGCCTTGAGCCTATGTTAGATGCATCCCTTATGCGTCAAACCTTACAAGTTCATGTGTATGTTTATGCCTCTTTATGTTGCCTAGTTTCATATTTACACAAATAGCAAAGTCAGGCATCACTGCAACGGATGAAAAGATACAAAGGGAAAAAAAAAAAACAAAGGGGGATCATCTAAATTAAAAAAAGATGTACTTCACTCTTAAACGTGATTCAATTTGAATGGAAAATGACACTTTATTTCTTTATGTGTAGGTAACAAAGGAGAATTCAAGTCGGAGCAGGAGATTGTAAAACGGGATATCATAGAGCAAAACATGTTGAAATCATCTGAATTTTTTGAGAAAAAAAAAGTATATCTTGTTCTTAAACATAATTCAATTAATTATTGATAATGACACTCTGTTTTCTTCTTTACAGATGACAAACAGAAGGACGTGATGGAGCACAATGTAAGGTGTGTGAAGGACTGTACAGTACTTGTCCCAAATTACTTACAACGATTTCTAATTTGCTAATTTTGTCTTTCCCTTGAAGGACCATGCAGTCATAGGGACACCAAAGGTGAGAGTAGTCATGGCCACGGGCCGGTTTTGGGCCGGAACCGACCCGGTCAAACCAGGGCCCGGCCCGTTGACCAGGCCCGCGGTTTGGAACCGGAACCGGCCCGTGGCCTACGGGCCCGGTTCCGGTTCTGGTTCCAAATTATTTTTAAAAATAATAATAATAATAATTTTTTTTAAAAAAAATTTCATTATTTAAATTTTTTTTATAAAACAAATTGAACTCTAATTGACATGCATTGTAAGTGTATTGATCTCCAATTGCAATGCTTGGCTTGGGTTTTATAAACAACCCCTTTGATGGTCTCTTCATTCACATTCGATGTGGGACTCTCGGTTTGCCTTGAACGCCTTCAATATGAAACTCTTGGCTTGTCTTCATGCAAATGCTAAGAGTCCCACATCGAATGGGAATGAAGAGACGGGATTGTTTATAAAATTCAAGTCAAGCCATGAACATGTGAAGTTGTATGCCTTTTTGTGGCTACGATCCTTTGCTAGTTAAGAGCAAAGGGTTCCATTGGACCGCCTAGAACCGGACCGAACCAATGGTTCGGTTCCCGATTCTATGGTTTGCCGGTCCGGTTCCTAGTTCTAAAATTAAAAGACCGGTCTTACCGGTTCGGTTCCCGGTTCCGACCGGGAACCGATCACCCGTACAATTTTCAATGTGATTATAATTTATATTGAATAATTCATTATTTCATATTTTTATAATTATTTATTTTTTTATTTCATAATTTATTTTTTAAATTTTTAAATTACGAACCGGAACCGGCCGGTTCGGAATAGGAACCGGCCGGACCGCCGGTTCCGAACCGGAACTGGCCGGTTCCGAACCGTGGCCATGACTAGGTGAGAGGTTTCTGCTTGAAAATAAAATTCAAAATAACAAAAAATTTGTTTGCAATGAAGCTTTCCGTAATGAACCCCGTCAAACTTTTCCCAAAGCCCAAAACGCATCTACGTGTGACGATTTGCCAATCAGAATTTTCTTTTTATTGATGCGACTTCAATGAATCGAGAGGAAATGCTAGCAATGCCAAATGAAGGTGTCGAGATGAAGAAAGGCAACAACGCTCATTCCACATAATTCCTTAATATATACTTCAGGAGATGAGAGTTACAAGAAATTTGCGAAACCCCATCGAGCTCAATTCATTGAAGAAACTTTTCATTACAATCCTATCGAGAATCATCCCAGGAGGTTAGGGTGGAACCATACGGAGAAAGGTGGGTGACCCTATTGGGCCCGTAGTCTCTAAACTTTATTGTTCCTTGATCAAATGTGTAGAAGAAACCAAACGGGAAAACTAATCACAAGACAATGATCGAAGGTCAAATTTCTCGGTTTGACCCAAAAAGTCAACCATTGACTAGTACATGAAATTTTGAAATTTAAAATCCTAAATCTATAATCTGAGATGACAGGAATG